ACTCGATGCTATGACGTCATCCGGCGGCATCACGATATGTGTCACGTGACTATTTCGCACCTTGGAAGAGTCGTGAGAATCAAGAATCAAATTGAATCTTGAATCTTGAATCTGATTCAAGTGATTAAGGCCACAGTCAAGAGTCGTGAGTGAGACGGGCGTCTGTTTTCCAATATACAAAGAATTGAATGTCGCCGAATCACCCCGGTGGTCTGGATGGGATGCTACTGAACACACACACAACAGTCGTGTTCACAGCTCACAGCTCACAGTAGGTGTACTGTGTGCAATCGTAATTCACGACCGACAAGTGGGTCCTCGATTGTCGAGAACGCTGTTGAGGTCTGGAAATTGCGTCATCTGGCTCAAGATTACCCCCGAGCGCTGAAGGATCATTCGACCTGGCCGCAAGTGGTGCTGCCCATCTCCTACCTTATTTCGTTCCCCTGAGATCTTTGAATCGCCTTTGAGAAGTCCTCCACTGCGGAATCGAAGCCTTCCCACAAAGGCGAGTCGATAAATGAGCGTGAGGCCGCTGAGAGTCACAGGATGCTAGGGCTAGGACCCCAACGTGGCAGGAACCCCCGAGAAGCTGATGCTACCTCACTTGCGTCTCGGGTTTACTTCAGACATCCGTGCTAGAGAGGTCGAGTGCAAGCAGCGCTCATGAACCTTGCGAAGTCGAGCCGCTGAGGCCGCATGTTTTTGAAGCAGATCATCGCGTGTGATGAGTGACAAAGAGCGTCGCGAAACCTTCCGCAGAGCTTTCAAGTGCTTGATCATCGCCGATGGGTCATTGTACAACAATGCCGCCTCACCGTTTCCTTGTGCCGCTCGCATTTCCAGCTTCTCTCTGCTGCATCTGAACCCTCGGATCTCCCTTCTCTGCTCTTTTTTGCAACTTTGCCTGACGCTTGCTCTGTCCAGCAGCGTTATCTTCAGTCGCAGCCTGATCAACAGGCGCTGTCCCGCCCGAGCTTCCAGCGAAGGCTGAGAACAACCCGCGGAGTGGATCCCTGCCGCCAAGTACAAAGGGCACCACAAGCTTGCTGTATGCGATATACGATGCGTACAGCGGGATCTGCCAGGGCCAGCGTTGCTGTCAGGTATGCTGACACACTGCTTTAGAATGGCTCGCTCGACTCACCACTGCCCAGATCCACCAGACCCAGCTTCCGAACAACGCTGTGCCGACGTGTACGAACCATGTTACGTAGATTATGTCGAACATATAGCTGATGTCGGTGCAATCGGTGCAATAGAGTTTCTGCCAGGTCAGCGCGTCGTGCGGATGCAAGCGGTTCTGGAAGAGCTTTTTGCGCAGGTGGTCCGACTGCGTGCGCATTGCAGTCGAAGCTCCAGCCTATGAAGCGAGGTTCATCCCTAGCTCTCCTCGAGCAGTGAGCAGCTCCAGCCAAGCCAAGTGCTCTATACACTCATGCAGTGGTAGGCCTCGTCGCAGCCACCCTCGTACAAGCTACTCACGCAGTCAGCCCCGTCTGCTTCAAGTCGTCCCCATCGCGCGCCATCTTTTCCAAGGTGAGCCAAAGCGCGACAGCCACCGCTTCCGTGCTCGCGTATTTGATGACGGATCCCCATGTCGCTTTTGATCTGTAAGCGTAGAAGACGAGGACCAAATGGATGGTATTGACAATCAGAAAGCCGACGCGCAGCGATTGCAGCGCTGACGCGTTCGCAGCCTTTTGGCGCTTAGCAGCAGC